TGCTCTTCTCTAATCTTTTTAAGTTCCTCTATTGCGTGTTCTGCGTTTTGCCTAATTTCCTTCTGAATATCTTGAAGAGTTCTGTATATTAATCTTTTGTATTCTGCCCCCAGTAATTCTAAGAAATTTTGTTTTTCTGGAAAATTTCTAGATTCTTTATTTTGGGAGCTTGCTGAAGCCATCATGGTCTGCCTCTTTATGTAATTTGATATTGACTGTTTTTTCCAAGCGATCAATAACTTATTATATTTATTTATTTTATGTTTGCTTACTGTGTTCTAGCTTCTTGTTTTGTTTTGTTTTGATATGCCCAAATAGGCTGCTCATGGAGCTAGCCCAATCACTGGTGCCCTTGAAGCTCCAGTGTCCTGCCATCAGATGGCCAGACTTGCTACTAAGTATGTTAGCCCAGGAGTCTGCCCACTCTTCCTATCTGGATTCAGCTCAGGTATCCAGGTAGCTAGCCACCAAGTGTGTGGTGCAGGCTCTCACCTACAGTCCTAGACCGGCATGGGTGATTGGTGTAGGCCCATGCATCTGGCTACAAGTCAGGGGGCTGATGGCTGCCGCCAAGTGTCTGGGAGGAAAGTGTGTCCCTGTTTCCTAGATTGAGTAGGTGGGTAGGTTTTGCAGCCAGACTGTGAGCACCCAATGCTGTTGGTTGTAAGGACTGGGGGGCATCTCTTAATCTTGGGCCCCACTCGCAGGTGGCTAGGTGGCGTGGGTGGAACCGTCAGTCCTCAGGCCCCTGATGTGGGTAGGTGGAGACCCTGCTTAATAGGCAGAGCAATGTCAAATGTCACAAACCTGCGACTTCACAGCTGAAAAAGTTGAAGTTAGACTTCAGGTATACACCCTGTTGTACTGTTGTAATTAGGGCCTATGGTGTTGAAATGGGCCTACACAAGTCTCTGCAGGGAAAAAGGCACTCAGAGTTCATGGAACCCTTATGCCTGTGCCTAGGCAGAGGAACTGTGCCTACCCTGAGTTCCTGGCTTAGGGGAGCTGACAGATTATTTTTTCCTCCTGTTTGTTAATTTGTTCCCTCTTCATGGCCGGGAGAATGGCTCAGGGAGTGTGATGGGTTCTACTTCTAGCCCGAAGGACTCGGCAGTCACTGATGGTGTCCTGAACCCAGTGCAGAGTAGAGAACAGGGTGGTAAATGGGAGAGAGGTTTCTCCCTAAGGTGGGTGTTTTTGATCTGCACAGTAGGCCAGACGCAAATACTTATCTTTCGCCGATCAAGGGCTGCTTCTCACTGGTTCTGGAAGACCGAGTAGACTCTGTGCCGCTGGTTCTTTCCCCAGGTGGAAAATACCTCCTGAGCACTGCTGTTTGCCTCACCGCTCACCCCCGAGCTGATCCGGGCTGAAGGGCTCTGGCTTCCACCGGGTCCTCGCTCCCTCCGAACCGTCTCTCCCTCCCCCGCGACTCAGTCTGATTCCTCAGCTTTGCCGTTGATGTCCATGGCTCCTAGATTGTCATATATAATGAATTCACTTTTTTTTTTGGGTCTTTGTTGTAAGAGGGACCACTGGAAGTGTCTGACTACTATGCCATCTTGGTCCCACCCTTCCCTTCTTTTTCAATTGCTAGGGTAAGAAGTCTAGGTGCAGTTTTCCAATAGTGAGGCACTCTTTTTCTTGGAGATAGGTCTGGAAGGGCTTTGAAGAAAACCAAGCCAGCTTGGTAGACCATGAGGAGGCAGAGGAGGCCTGGGTCGGCTGAGTGATGGTTTCTGGGCCTGTGAGTTAATCTTAAATCTATTCCACATCATCCCTGCCCCATAGCATGCACAGTCCAACCTCTTTGTCCTTCATTTATGTTTTTCTTCGTTCTGGGAAAGCCCAGTCCCTCCTGGGTGCCTCTGTAAGTCTCTCTTTCTGTACAAGTCTCTGTAAGAGTTGTCAACCTTCCCTGCATCTTACAATCACCTGAATTTTTAAAAGTCCAGAATGTTAGGCCAATTAAATCAGAATCATTGGGGACAGGACCCAGGCATCAGTATTTTTTAATGTTCTTAGCCTGGCCCCCTCCAATTTTTACCTATTTTAAAAATCCTCCTGATTTACCAACCTGAGTCTCATCCCTCATTAATCATGAAACTTCTCATTTACTTTGGAACTTGTTAGTTACCATCAAGTCCACTCAAGCTCATGGCGACCTTATGTGTAACAAAAAGAATGAAACATTACCTGGTCCTGTGCCATCCTCACAACTGTTGATATGTTTGAGCCAATTGTAGTTTAGATCTAAAGGGCACATAATATAAGTTCACACAATGTAATAAGCACACACAACATTAATATTGACTTATTTTTAGGTTATTTGTGTTTGTTCCCCTGGTTAGATTATAAGCTCCTTAAAGGCATGGATCCTGCCATCTTTCTCCCAATTCCAGAGGTTCTCGAACTTGGGTGTGCATCACAATCCCCTGGGGGCTTGTTAAAATATAGATTGCTGGGCCCACCTGGAAATGCTTCATTCAGTAGGCCTGGGTTAGGGTCTGAGGCTTTGCATTTCTAACAAGTTTCTAGGTGATGCTGCTGCTGCTGCTACCACTCTTGAGAACCACTCTTGAAAATACTCTGGAGAACCACTGCTGTATCCTCTGAATCAGTTGTTCCTCATGTGCAAGGATGCTGAATAATTACTGGCCAAACCCAAAAGAATGGAACATTTCCCTGTGGCCACTCTACTGGGTTCATATGTCCACTGTAGCTGTGGGCTTGTCCCTGGGCTGAGAGAATGTGTGACTGATCCCCTTAAGCTGATCATAACTTTTTGACTTTCTAGTTGCCAATTCCTTCAGATTTTGAACCTTGCTAAGATGGTTATTTCTCTCTGTCTGTCTGTCTCTGTGCCTGCCAGTTGTTGGTTGTGCGTTTAGGCTAGGTAAAAAGATATGATTTAATCGGGTAGGATTAAGATCATAGTTCACTTCCTCTGTCCCTCAAGGTAGAAAGTGAAAGTGGGAAGTAGCAGGAACATTTCTTTTGGAAAGACTGGTGAAGAAAGATCCCCAAATAGAAGAAAAACTCAATACAGCCAATTTTTCAAAAAGGAACAAAAATCCCTGAAAGTAATCTTTTTTATGAATTATAAGGGGTCCAGAGACTTGTTTTTTATTGGGAAAACAAAAGAGCTCAGATGGAGCTGATATCTGCTATCTCAAGGCCTTACCTCTGGGCACAGCCTAGGGGAATTATACCAACAGCTACAGTTCATTGTAGCATGAAAAACCACTGACACCTAAGTTGAGAGCTTATTATTATCTTCAATCTCTTTTTGATTAAGTGCCTTCTACAAGTGAATTGAGGCTGAAATTTTCCTTCCGAATACTCTGAACAGTTTAAATTACTTTTCTAGTTTTAATTAATGGTTAAACCACTTGATGTGTTCGGAATTTGATTCATGTGGATTTAAACTGCAAAGATGCATGTTAGGTTTATTTGTTTCTGTATCCATTAATTAACTAATTAGTTAATTTTTAAATCAGTTGAGTTTTCATATAGGTTTCAGGCGATTATTTTGTAATTTTCTTTTAGGTAAAATATTCTTGGGATAATGGTCACTGAGATTTTTCTAAGAGAATTTAGTGCCTAACTTGTGTAATCGGACAGTTTGGCATTGCAAGTTGAATGCGCGGCTATTTCTCTTTTTGTGTATCTTCAATGTTGAACCCTGAATTAGAGCCATTCCCTGGCTTATTTGATGTTAATTTAAAAAGAGAAAATTTTAGAGGCAGAAAACAGTTGATGATCATTTTGAAGAAACATTTGAGTTCTTTTATTAGGTACCAAATGAGAGAGTCATTTTGCAGCTCTTGATTTGATGTCATTTGCCATCTCTAAAAGGACATATTCTTAGGATTGTTGTTGTTGTTAGGTGCTGTTGAGTCGGTCCCGACTCATAGCGACCCTCTAGGGCAGAGTAGAACTGCCCCACAGGGTTTCCAAGGAGCGGCTGGTGGATTTGAACTGCCAGCCTTTTGGGGACAGGGGAGACCCAGAAAGCTAACTTCACATCCAGCTTAGGCCCTTTACATTAAAAGGTTCTCTGCTTGTGTGGGAGTGGTCCCTGGGTAGTGCAGACATGCTTGGCTGCTAACCAAAAGATTGGAGGTTCAAGTTCACCCAGAGGCACCTCAAAGAAAAGGCCTGATAACCTACTTCCATGAAATCAGCCGCTGAAAACCCTATGGAGTACAGTTCTACTCTGACGCACGAGGTCACCGTGAGTTGGAGTCAGCTTGATGGCCACTGGTTTTTTGTGGGTGGGCAAGCAACGTTGGCTAGTCTTAAAGGGTTGAAAAAGAAACTATTGGCTCCACCACTAATTATACCACTACTTTCAGCCTTTCATAACTGTCTTAGGCTGGGTTCTCTAGAGAAGCAAAACCAGTAAAGTGTATAAATATACATATATAGAGAGATTATATCAAGGAAACAGCTCATGTGATTGTAGAGGCTAGAACGTCCCAAGTCTGTGGATCAGGGCAGAGACCTCTCCCAAGACACACAGCTGCAGAAGCTGGCAAGCCCAAGATCAGAAAGTCGGAGAGCAGGGCTCCCACTCGCCGGCTATGCAGATTGGCGAATCCCAGGTTTGGCAGATAAGCTGACAGCTCAAGTCCCAAGAACGGGAGATGAGACGACAGGAAGCAGCTGCAGGATCCAGAGACAGCAAAAAGCCAAAACGTCTGCTTATATACAAATGCGGGCCACACCCCCAAGGAGACTCCCTTTCATCTGACTGGTTACTCACAGTATATTCAATCATGGGAGTGATTACATTAAAACACGAAGAATCATGGCCCAGCCAAGTTGACACACAATCTTAACCATCACAATAACTCTTCCAAATGAATATGGAGGAAAAAGCCAAACACAAACCTGAGATTCACTGATGTGGAAATCTGAAAAACAAAAAAAACTAGAAAAAATTGTCAAATGGGGAAAACAGTAGAGATGTTCATTCTCTCTTTTTTCCCCCGTAGGTGAATTTTGTGGCCTGCCAGCTGTTTGCTTTGTTTGCTGCTTTCTGGTTTCGCCTCTACTTAAGTCCTGGTAAAACTAGTCCTGATGTCCGGCATGCGTTTGCCACCATTTTTGGCATCTATTTTGTCATCTTTTGTTTTGGTTGGTGAGTATGAACCTCATAAACTCTAATACTTATCTTTTGGATGTTTTGTGTCAATGTTCTTGGCATCTCCTAGGCACTAAGGTAAGAAGTATCTGATTTTTACTCTTACTGTAAAATAATGGTGCCATTGCAGGAATCTCCACTTATTGTGAAAACCTGGAACCGAATAACTGGTGACCCATTAGAGGTCAATGCAGTGAATTTTTCTTAAAATTAGAGCTCGACAGATTTCTCCCTGGGTCCTGTAAACAGGATACCATAGGGCTTTATTTTTTCCATATGGGGAACTTTCCTTAACCACTGTGGATGATGGTATATTTCTTTCATTCCTGCTAGATACAGTGGTGTTAGTCATGAAGTCAGTCAGAGAAGAACAAAGGTTTTAGCACAGGTCTTGAGGACTGTGAGTCATTCTCTAGCAGAAAAAAGCCTGTACGTAAGCTGGGCAAATCCCCTGAGTGGCACTTCTTGGAGAAGAAGTTTAAGGGGCCAACATTTTTAGAAGTGCAGCTTAAGGAAATATTTGAATTTGTTCAGAGTACTAGAATACTGCTCGTACTCCTTTGACAGAAATCTGACAAAGGATGAGTATTTTGAATTGGACTCTGGGTAAAAGTCTTAATATGTGGGGGAAACCTGATTTTGGTAGTGTTCTAATAAAACATAAGAAAATAAGGTCCTGAAGAAAGAACGAACTTTCTTGTAGACTCTCAGTTGTGTGTGTGACAAACTTGTAAGCATTTTATTTATAGATTCCTGACATTACTACCACTGTAGTTAGCAGGCTATGTCTTGACTTCTGTGTTCAAGATTTAGTATCTTAAATCTTAATTATGTAGGCAAAAATTAGTTGATTTATTTTCTCTTACATAAACACAGTTTAGCTGGTCACTTGCTTTTTGGTGAGAGTAGAATGAAGTAGACAGTATGAGCAGCCGATAGATACGTTAACAGAAAATATATTCAATGTTTTCGCATCTCCATTATGTCTTAAAGGTACTCCATACACCTTTTTGTGCTGGTGTTAATATGCTATGGAATTATGGTCACTGCAAGCATACCCAATATTCACAGGTAAGATTCTGGGAATGAATAATGCAAGGTGAGGTTTTCTGTGATCTTTGAAATATATTTCCCAGGGTAATAGAGTAACTTCCTCATTTTCTATAAGTGGTGTATCCTAAGTTCTCTAGAATATCAGAAGGAGGGATGAGGATCCTTAAAGAGTAGGAGTCTTCTGGGAAGGCTTTATGAACGTGGTGGGATGCAAATTGGTCATCAGGAGAAAGAATATATTAGGATTAGGTTCAGATGCATCTAGTAGAAAAATCCAGGTTAAGAGTGACTTAAACAAGACAGCATATTTCTCATTCACATAAAAGAACCCTTAAGTAGTTCCACAAAGTCACAGGTACTTAGTCATCTTTCTTTCTATTTCATTGACCTCAACATGTAGCTTCCATATTCAAGGCTACCTCATGGATTAAAATGGTTTCTAGAAGTCCAGCCATCATGTCTGCATTCCAGTAACAAGGAAGGAAAGAAAGGTGTCACTTTCCCTTTTTAAGAGCCCTATTAGAAACTCCACAGAATTCCTTCACTTACATCTCTTTGTCCAAAACTTAGGAATATGGCCACACTTAGCTTCAAGGCCATGTTTTAACTGGGTGGCAATGAGCTCGCCTAAAAACTGGGTTCATTTCCTAAGGAGGAAGGAAGCAAACTTTGCTGCAGGTATATAGCAAATAACAGCATGGTGGTTTTTCAAGCAAAGGGAACAAGAGCAAGGTAGAATGGGGTGAGAGTGGCATGTACTTTGGAACTTTGCATGCTAAAAGTGAGTATGTAGTGAGGAAGGGCAGTGGGCCAAAATTTTTTTCTTGGGTTTTTATTGAGGTAGGATTCACATAACATAAAAGTTCACCATTTTAACCATTTTAAAATATACAATATAGAGGTTTTTAATAAATTCACCCCCCATCTGTCTGTCAGTTTGTTGTACTGTGGGGGCTTGCATGTTGCTGTGATGCTGGAAGCTATGCCACTGGTATTCAAATACCAGCAGGGTCACCCATGGTGGGCAGGTTTCAACTAAGCTTCCAGACTAAGACAGACTAGGAAGAAGACCTGGCTGTCTACTTCTGAAAAGAATTAGCCAGTGAAAACCTTACGAATAGCAGTAGAACATTGTCTGATATAGTGCCAGAAAATGAGCCCCTCAGGCTGGAAGGCACTCAAAATATGACTGGGGAAGAGCTGCCGCCTCAAAGTAGAGTCGACCTTAATGACGTGGATGGAGTCAGTCTTTCAGGATCTTCATCTGCTGTTGTGGCATGACTCAAAATGAGAAGAAACAACTGCAAACATCCATTAATAATCAGAACATGGAATGTGTGAAGTATGAATCTAGGAAGATTAGAAATCATCAAAAATGAAATGGAATGCATAAAGATCAATATCCTAGGCATTAGTGAGCTGAAATGGACTAATATTGGCCGTTTTGAATTGGATAATCATATGGTCTACTATTCTGGGAATGACAAATTGAAGAGGAATGGCGTTGCATTCATCCTCAAAAAGAACATTTCAAGATCTATCCTGAAGTACAACGCTGTCAGTGATAGGATAATATCCATACGCCTACAAGGAAGAGCAGTTACTATGACTATTACTTATATATTTACACACCAACCACTAAGGCCAAAGATGAAGAAATTGAAGATTTTTACGAACTTCTGCAGCCTGAAATTGATCAAACATGCAATCAAGATGCATTGATAATTACTGGTGATTGGAATGTGAAAGTTGGAAACAAAGAAGAAGGATCAGTAGTGGGAAAATATGCCTTGGTGATTGAAATGATGCCGGAGATCACATGATAGAATTTCGCAAGACCAATGATTTCTTCATTGCAAATACCTTTTTTCACCAACATAAATGGTGACTACACACGTGGACCTCGCCAGATGGACTACACAGGAATCAAATCAGCTACATTTGTGAGAAGAGACGATGGAGAAGCTCAATATCATCAGTCAGAGCAAGGCCAGGGGCCAGCTGCGGAACAGACCATCAGTTGCTCGTATGCAAGTTCAAGTTGAAGCTGAAGAAAATTAGAACAAGTCCTTGAGAGCCAAAGTAAAACCTTGAGTATATCTCACCTGAATTTAGAGACCATCTCAAGAATAGATTTGATGCATTGAACACTAATGACCGAAGACCGGATGAGTTATGGAATGACATCAAGGACATTGTCTTAGTTGTCTAGTGCTGCTACAACAGAAATACCACAAGTGGATGGCTTTAACAAAGAGAAATCTATTTCTTCACAGTAAAGTAGGCTAAAAGTCCAAATTCAGGGCATCAGCTCCAGGGGAAGGCTTTGTCTTTCTATCGGCCTTCTTCTCATCAGTGCTCCCCTGGACTAGGAGCTTCTATGCACGGGGAGCCCGGGTCCAAAGGACGCACTCTGCTCCTGGCACTGCTTTCTTGGTGGTATGAGGTCCCCCTGTCTTTCTGCTCACTTCCCTCTTTTATATCTCAAGAGATTGCCTCAGGACACGATACAATCTTGTAGATTGAGTCTTGCCTCATTAGCACAACTGCCGCCCCTCCTCCCTCATTAACATCATAGAGGCATGATTTACAACATATAGGAAAATCACACAATACCTGGAATCATGGCCCAGCCAAACTGATACACACATTTTTTGGGGGACATAATTCAATCCACCAATGACATTCCACCCTTTGGCCCCCAAAAAAATCACATCCTTGCAACACGCAAAACATATTCACCCCATCATATCACAGCCAAAGTCTTAACTCCAAGTCCAAAATCCAGAAATTCCTCTTCATCTGTAAAATCTAGAATACAAGTTATCTGCTTCCAAAGGTACAATGGTAGAACAGGCACAAGCTAGACATTTCCATTACAAATGGGAGAAACTGGAGGAAAAGAAGGGATAACAGGTACCAAGCAAGTCAGCAGAACATATTACATTAGCCCTCAAGGCTTTGAAAATAATCTTCTGTCCTCTGAGACAATTTACACAGTGGCCCTGCCCTCCAGACTGTAGGTATTGGCCACACTGTCCAGATTCTGAGTGGAGGCCCCTCAGCCCTGGGCTTCAGCTCTGCTTCCCAGGCCCATTGGGACAGCAACTCTGCTCCCTTGGCTTTAGGCGCACCATTCTCCCAGTCCATCTGAGTGGCAGCTCCACCCTTAGAAACACCAGAGGCCATGGGTCCACCCTTTGAAACCCCAGAGATCATGGCCATACCTTTTGAGACTGAGGCAGCTCAGCTTCTTGTGTTCCTTGTCTCGTTAGCTTCTGTTTCCTGTGGCCTCTCAGCCCTCAGGCCTCACACCTGCATCTGCCCTGCTGGAGCAAGTGTTCCAAAGCTGGATAGCTCCACTAATAAGGGCCTGGAGCACCCCGCTCCACCAGAAAGCCTTGTGTGCACAGGCACTCAGCTCTCTCGCTCAGTGGGTCAGCTCCAGCGCCCTCTCGCACTGGTCTCCTGGTTCTGCTGCTGCTGGTTCTCTGCCACTGTCACTTCTCTGCTGCTGCTGGTCCTTTGCTGCTGCCACGCTATCCATTCACAGTTTCAAAACCGCTTCCACATTTTAGGTTTCTGTTAGAGCAGCACCCCACTCTCTCGGTACCAAATTCTGTCTTAGTCATCTAGTGCTGCTACAACAGAAATACCACAAGTGGATGGCTTCAACAAAGAGAAATTTATTTCTTCACAGTAAAGTAGGCTAAAAGTCCAAATTCAGGGCATCAGCTCCAGGGGAAGGCTTTCTCTCTCTGTCAGCCTTCTCATCAATGTTCCCCCGGACTAGGAGCTTCTTCATGCAGGGACCCTGGGTCCAAAGTATGCACTCTGCTCCTGGCACTGTTTCTTGGTGGTATGAGGTCCCCCTGTCTCTCTGCTCACTTCTCTCTTTTATATCTCAAGAGATTGCCTCAGGACACAATCCGATCTTGTAGATTGAGTTCTTCCTAACTAACACAACTGCTGCCCATCCTCCCAATTAACTCATAGAGGCAGGATTTACAACATATGGGAAAATCGCACAATACGGGGAATCATGGCCCAGTCAAGTTAATACACACATTTTTGGGGGGACATAATTCAATCCGTGAGAGGCATCATACATGAAGAAAGCAAGAGGTCATTAAAAAGTCAAGAAAGAAAGAAAAGACCAAAATGGATATCAGAAGAGACTGAAACATGCTTTTCAATGTAGAGTAGCTAATGGAACAGAAGAAATGATGAAGTAAAAGAGCTGAACAGAATATTTCAAAGGACGGCTCAAGAAGACAAAGTAAAGTGTTAGAAGAACATGTGCAAAGACCTGGAGTTAGAAAACCAAAAGAGAAGAATATGCTTGGCATTTCTGAAATTGAAAGAAGAAAAAATTCAAGCCTCAAGTTGCAGTATTGAAGAATTCTGCAGGGAATATATTAAACGACGCAGGAAGCATCAAAAGAAGGTGGAAAGAGTACACAGAGTCACTATACCAAAAATAGTTAGTCGATGCTCAGCCATTTCAGCCGGAAAACATATAATCAGGAACTGATGGTACTTAAGAGATGGGTCCAAGCTGCCCTGAAGGCATTGGCAAAAAACAAGGCTCCTGGAATTCTGAAATACCAATTGAGATGTTTCAACAAATGGATGTGGTGCCGGAAGTGCTCGCTCATCTATGCCAAGAAATTTGTAAGACAACTGCCTGGCCAATTGACTGGAAGAGATCCATATTTATGCCTATTCCAAAGAAAAGTGATCTAAGAGAATGTGAAGATTATTGAACAATATCATTAATATCCCATGCAAGTAAAATCTTGCTGAAGATCGTTCAAAAGCAGCTGCAGCAGTACATTGACAGCAAACTGCCAGAGATTCAAGCTGGATTCAGAAGAGGACATGGAACCAGGGATATCATTGTTGATGTCAGTCAGATGGATCCTGGCTGAAAGCAGAGAATACCAGAAAGATATTTAGCTGTGTTTTATTGACTATGCAAAGACATTCAACTGTGTGGGTCATAACAAATTATGAAT